GTCAGTAAACCGGAAGGTACAAAGCTACGTGAAAGGTCCAGGTCGATTATGTAGTGAACCGAATAATACATGAAACGTACCAATCTCGTGTAACGTAAGGCTGTGTATCTGTATTGGCGCTGCTTGTAATTCTGGTTGAAGTTGCTGAAGGATCCATTGCTTTCGTAACTAAAATTTGGTGCCTTTTCTGTTGCAATTTGTATTAAAACCCAGTTTGGTGTTTGCTTGGATATTTGTTCCGTTGCGTTTACAGAGGAAATACTTAAGGAAAATCATCCAAATAATGTGACGTTATTTATACAAAAGTTCTCAGTACTTTCACAAGGTGGCAAAATGTTCTGTTTTACAAGTGATGCCACCATTAGGCAGCTTTAAGAGTGCTTATAATGTGAATGGTGGAAACGTTGAAGTAACATGATATATTTTATTTTTTGTTGCATGGAATGGGAAGGAATGCGGGGAACCGGAGTGAGGTAAAAATACGAAAGGAACTAAGGAAGTTAGAAATGGTGGTGAGGGCTACAGATGGAAAAGGCATTTCGCTTTGAGTTTCAGCGTGAATTTTGCACTCGTACTATAAGAATGTAGGCAGAATGTTTTATTTTTCTCAGAAACTTTCTTTATGTACTGCGATATAACAAGATGTGTAGGAATTCCAAATGTTCAATATTATGTTAGTCACTGTGTGTTGTTACAGATATTGGCTATTTGAAATTCACGACATTTTATGAATTGGCTGTATTTACTTTACTTATATTGACAAGTTTTGTCATAAATCTTTGTTTATTGTTTATTTAAAGGTGATGTGAGCAACTGAATATATATAGTTTCGAATGATATGATTAATTAGGTGGGAGGTTTCATGAAAGGAAACGGTCGTGGCGTAATTTAAGGTACTGCCCCAACATTTGCGTGGAGGGACCGAGGGAAACCGCGAACGATTCAGTCAGGTCTGCCGGCCGAGATTTTAACTGAAGACGAATGCCAACCACTCGGCCGCATTCTCGGTAGAAAATTCTTAAATATTTCAGTTACGTTTTTCAGTAACATATCGGCATGATAATAGGTCAAAAAGTATTATTCTTTTCTTATACAGCCACATTGTTTGTAATTTTATATGTACGAGGTGCGATCGGAAAGTTTCCAGACTGTGTCAATAGAGGGCGAACCGGATGTAGTACGAGCTTCTGCCGCTAGGGGGTGCGGCCTACATTCATAGTGAATCAGTGTGCCAGCCGGCATCATCGAATTAGCATTTGTTTCTTAGTTACGGGCGTTTTGGTAGTGCATTACACCGACCCTCCTGCGATTTCGGAATGGCGGATTTTCATGAACAAATCAAATTTTGCCAAAGACTCGCCAAAACCGCTACGGAAACCTATGAAATGCTAAAGCAAACATTTGGGGAGTCCGCAAACTTTTGTGTGGCATTCACGTTTTAAAAATGGCCGAACCCCTGTCGATGATGACGAGCGTTCTGGACGACCATCTTCGAGCACAACGCCCGAAAATGTTACCAAGATTCGGCAGGCCATTCACGAAGATCGACGTCGTACCATAACGACTTGTGCGACATTGTTGGGATAGGCTATGGGACCTGTCAGCTGATTCTAAAGGAAGAACTCCACATGCGACGCATCCTGTCTGAGGACCAGAAGCAGAATCGACTTCTCGTTTGTCAGGAGCTCAAAGATCTTGCAAGAACCGACCCCAACTTCCTTTCTAAGCTCCGTGTGACTTCTTCCTCTTCCCAAAGATGAAAATTCAGCTAAAGGGAAGGAGATTTGAGACGATAGAAGAGATTCAGGCAGAATCGCAGATGGTGCTTGACAGGCTGACAAAGAAAGATTTCCAGGGATGCTTCCAGGCTTGGCAGCGGCGCTGGGATCGTTGTGTTCACTCCTTCTTACTGCCTCGCCCTCTCACACCGTCATGCCATGACGCCTCAACAGCTTTACAGAGATCTCTACGCGATGGTTAAGAGAAAATTGGGAATCATTTGCAAGTTGTCCTGCCTGTAGACGTATCGATGTTAGTCTTAGGGGGTTTGTAACGCCGTGTGGACTGACAGGCAGATACCAGCAGCACTGCACAAGACTTGTAGGTTCAGTTGATAATGGAATCTTGATAGGTTGGTCGTGCTATATACTGAATATAGATTGGTAACATAATTACTTTGTTTTACCATCCCATCCTCTTCCTCTCTTCTCTTTGGTGCCTCACAGTAGGTAGGTTCGCCATGAAAAGCAGGGCCAGAATAAATTACCCACGGGAGTAGGCAGACTGTAATAATATTACCGTCTACCAGTAGGGGCAGCACAGTAACTTCAACGTATATTCTAGAAACGATGCTGAACAGTGATTCGAGCCGATAAACGGGTCTCGATATCGCGGTCCATAAACCGGAACTGCTAATGAAGGTGTCGCAGACAGAGTCTAAGGAACTTACATAATGAGAACTTTATTTCGCGTTGTATTAATTGCGTTTTATACGAGCAGTTTAAATAACTTAAAAAGTGTTACCAGTTCTACGGAGTGTCTGCTTGTTTCTTTTCTTTAAATGCCAGAAAGAAGACTCGTTAGCAGCGCCTGACTATATCAATTTGCTTCGTGTAAGGAACAGAATTTTAAAGAAAATAGAAAGTGGTGTATTCTGAAACAAGTTCTAATGAGTGTTTCTTATGGTATGCATAAAAAATTACTTGCTATCAGGAAACAACTGGTGTTAAAATTCCGACAACTTTCGTTAAAGAATGAAGCTATTTGGATGTTTACTATTTAACAGGAAATGTTTAGAAGAGGGTTTTGGTTCATCGTGTCTCACGGCCATTGTGATCCTACTGGCATAATAGTATGGCCCTTCTAAGTTGACGGGAAGAAATAAAGTAAATTAAACGGGAAAACATCTTCAGGGTTACTGAAGAAAGATTCCTGCACAACACAAAGTTGGCCACCTGACTACACACTGCTGCCAAGTGCAAACTCCGTCCGACTGCCATAGGCTCGTTTGTATTTCTTGCTACCAGTGTAATTTCAGTTTTTCCCACTTCACACAAACGGCGCACTCGTACAGCCAAGCGTGATTGACACGCTGTTATGTTAGGAACAGATGCTGTTAAATATTTGTAAATGATTGAAGGAAACTTAATTTAACATCTTTGTCACGTGGAGTCTCTACGTTATGTTATGTTTGGAACAGATGCTCTTAATTATTTGCAAATGATTGAAGAAAACCCAATTTAACATCTTTGTCACGTGGAGTCTCAACATCAACTTTTTTCCGCCATTTTATTGGCTCTGTACATTACTTATTAGTTACTTGTTTAATTTTAGAAAATATAAATTAGGGAAGATAAAATTACAGAGTGTGGGGTAATATAGTTCTTTTATTGCAATGTGATTTCGATAGTGACTCCCTGTGACTGTAAGCTACTACAGAGGTTAAATTTTCGTGGTGAGTGGCTAGATATACTTCTATGAAACTGAAAGAAGTTAAGGGATTTTACAAGTAAAATTTAATCTTTGGAAGAAAGCCTGATTTCAATGCACATACTGAATGGAATGCTAGAGATTTCCAAAAGAAATCCAGAAATACCATTGCACAGGAATACTGTGACTTTGATGCCCACTTAAATGGCTATTGGATTACAAGAATGCTGAGTCTGTCAGGGCCACCCTTAAATAAGCTACCTATGTGATAGAATATGGTAATGGTGGTACACAGTACTGATGTCACATAATTTGTTTCATTGTCACATATCTGGAGTGCTCGCTAGATCATTCAGATCAGAGGTTCTGACATATGGCATGAAATGTGGAGGGAAGCAATATAACTCTTTGATGTATTAAGGAAAATGAGTCGTGATTGGTTTAAACTTCCAAAACACGAGATGGATCCACTGGCTTGAAACTGTGACACTCAGATCTCTACAGGATTGTTGTCGCCAACACTTTTTCCATGGCATAAGGTTTTTAAAATTGTCATAACCATTTTGTACTAGAACAAGGAAACCATTGTATCACAGGAACATTTGCAGAGAAACTTGCACAATAACTTTAAGAGCAAAACGTAATCTGGGCTATTCTTCACTCGTAGAAAATGGACACCATAACAAGCACAGATGTAATAATTGAAGAAGCCTTTCAAACTGATGAAAATTCTGAGCGCAAAAAAGAAATGTCACATGCTGTTGGATGTTTCCACATCTGTGGTTGAGAGCGAGGTGTCAGAGTTCAGGCAGTGCGGAAGTTAGAGTGGGAACTTGCAATGTAATATGTTGAGAGTCGAGTGTGTTCATCCCGTTACAGTACTACCAACAGAAAATTAGGTTTTATAGTTGATACTGCCAACTTATAAATTTGAAGAAACCAAAAAGAAATTCTCGTTAAATGATAAAAAAAGTTTTGATCTATAAATTTGCCATTTTCATAGATTATATTTCTTTGACACCACTTAAAAATTGTCTTGTATTTTCTGCTATAAGTTAATAAATAATCTATTTTCTTAAACCTTCACACACTTACTAAATATATTTTTATTTATTTATTTATTAATTAATACAGCACCTTTTGACATATCATATGTTGGGTATCTAACTTAATATTATATTATTAAATCACAAAATTGACAATTGTGTTAATTTTAAAAAACTTGTTTGGTTTGCTGTTGTCATTTCATGTCCATTCTGTATTGCCTTAATGAATTATTTATAAGTATATGTGAACATTGTCTATATTACATTCTTCATCTCTTAAATGCTTCACACTAATACTTAATTTCTGCTAGCCCCAGATGTCATCTTCAGCATTTTGTTATTGAACACTCACAATCCACCAAGTTTCATACCCATACAGAACAACAGATAATGTTATAGTATTGCATGTAGGTATAGATTCAGTAACACTAGTGAATCTCATCTTAATCACTGCCAAGTGCTAAGAAATGTTCCAAAAATAAAATAGTGCTAATGTCATGATTTCGCCATCTTTGTGTGTTTCAGCTGACAAGCTTCCAGCTGGTTTTCCACAAATAATACAAGCTCCAAGCACCAAGGTAGTAGAGATTGGTCATAACGCAGTTTTGCTGTGCTCAGCTGTTGGTACACCTCTGCCTCGCATCTCATGGGTGCGAGACATGCTACCGGTGGATCCCAGCAAAAGCCCGCGATACAGTATACTAGACACAGGTACCGGTATGCCAGGTACGTTACGTATAGTGTCTGTCTGCAACTGACACCAAGCCCGGAACCGTATCTTATCGGTTGTGTCGTGGCCCATCGTACTGGCGGTTTTGATCCGTATTCCACATTAAGTGTAACAGCTTTCTGTCAAGAGAGGGTTTCATGTTTTTTTTCTCACTTCTTCCAAGTGAATGTCAGGCTAATTAATATCTTGACGTATCACACATTTGCGTCCTGTAGCCCCCATAGTACAGTGGTTTAAATCCCCTATTGCTGTATTATAAAGCTTGGATGTACCAAGAAATAACCATCGTTCAGTATTGGACAGGATTATGTGGCAGTTCATTTCCTCAAAAATTATTTATGTAAGATTCATTTTAGTGTTAACCTGTCATTTCTTTCTAAGTCTTCCTTTCAACTATGTTTCTAGATGTTGCCCAAGAAAAACTTTATCTTATATGCCTTTATTTTCCCCAACCAAACCATATGTCCTGTCCATCATATCCACCTTGATCGGACTGGCATAACAGTATATGGAGATAGTCCTGGATTACAAAATTGCAACATTTTAATCACAATTTCAGTTAATTTTTTATTTAAATTTTATATTAATTTCCATTTACTTTTAATTGTAGTCACTGTGATGACTGTTCATATGGACTAGACAGTTTATGTGGAGGTAAAGCTGATTAAGTAGGATTTGAGGTTCTCATGGTAGCAAGTCAGGGCCCTGATGATGGAGGCAACAAGTACCTCTGAAACGTTGGTAAATGTGTACCAACCAGACTACATGGCACTACAACCCAGAAGATAGCAATCTTCTAAAGCTAAGTTGGTTGGTTGGTTAGTCAGTCAGTCATTTAGTTATTTTACTTTTATGTGATTGATAATTTAAATGTTTTCATATGTGTAGGATCTTTGTCAATGAGATGTGTGGTTGCAGGCTTACTTTATCAAGATCATTTTATTGGTGTCATGCATGTCATTGGTTGTCTTATGAATTCAGTTTCACACCTGCGTTACATAAAAAGACAGTAACTATTTAGTAATTGGAGATGACAGTAAGATGTGGGGAAAATATTAAGAGAAAAAGAGAAAGATAATGAAATGATGATCTTATGATATTTGTTTCGTGTAATTATACAACAGTTGCTCTTAACAAGATGATATTGTAATCAGGCTGACATGATTCGATAATTAGTTTCCCCACAAAGAAGACTTACAGATTTGACTATGTGATTACAATTCCCAATGTTAACTTCTTCTGTCTTGTAGTCCTACATAAAAAGCATGACCATAGTCTTGTAATGATCTTGCACTAACCTCTGAAAGTCTTTGAATCACCGCTGACTGCACATGTTCTTGTCATGTGCTGTAGTAATCATGATGATGGGATTGCACTATGGCTACATGCTCTTACTTGCAGTGAACCACTTTGCTTTATTAAATCCTTGAGTTAGTTCTCTTTCATTTGTTGCACTATTACCAACCACATCGGTTTAACTTGCTTATTACTGTTTGTAAATACACTTTTGAAGATTTCTGTCTTCTGGGTTGTTGCGCTGTGTAGTCTGGTCAATGTTAACCAACGTTTTAGAGATCATACTGCCTCCGTCATCAGGGCGATGAGTATGAAGATTTCCGTCTTCTGGGTTGTTGCGCTGTGTAGTCTGGTTGATGTTAACCAACGTTTCAGAGGTCATACTGCCTCCGTCATCAGGGCGATCATCGTTGGCAAACATCGACCAGACTACACAGCGCAAAAACCCAGAAGACAGAAATCTTCATACTCACCACTGTGGAAACCTCAAATCTTACAAATATAATGAAGGTGTTGTAAAATACATATTCACCTGTCACATCTTTATTTTGTTGAGTGATGGGTTTAAGATTCAATTGGTTATTCCTTCAGTCCACACATGTTGTTTAGGCACAGGGCTGACTATAACATTATCTATGAAAAGTAAACTTTTCATGTGTGACGTGAGACGATTGCTGGCTGCAGCTGATGACAAAATGCCACATTGTTATGGCCTACAGAATTGTTTTCTATCATTGTATTGTGACCCAAACATCGCATTTGTATCATGTTGGGATGTTTCATCATGCACTGCAATATACCAACCCATATTTTATGACGTACTGTGTTTTTTTCAAGAGGGGTTGTTTTACAGATTCCATTTCATGGACACATCCCATGGGACCATTAGCCTTTTTGCAGTTCTTCTGCTGAGAGATTATGGGAGAATCCTGTTATCTTTGGAATTTTACAGCAAAGTATAAGCTAGGGGAAGAACACACATTGTTTTCATGTGCCATCACAGCCATTTCTATTTTGCCTGGAGATTTCAGCTATCAGTTTTATGTTCCAGTATATTTTATTTGTAGATTGGCTTGCTCTTGCACTGAATTTTATTAGTGTAGTCTTGGCAGATTATGTCTTCTTTTTGTACCACATTTAGATTTCAGTTGTTTATTAATTTTATTACACTGGGAGATACAAACCTTCCTTATTTTTGGACTGGGTTGAAATTTTATTTATGCGTACTTATTTATGTTATTTTGTAATACTGTATTACCAGTGACTGACCCTATATTAATACAGTTTGGACAGCAGCAAAGTCATTGAACTAACAGGCATTGTAGGGAATGTGATTGACCAGGTGAAAGACAATTAGCTTTTTTAATGCGTCTCAGCTCTATGAAATTAATTCCGGCATTAATACGAGTTGTTGAAGAGAGTTTTCTGTGCTCAAGCTTCATTCCACAAAATTTGTTACCAATGTTAATTGGGGTTTTCAGAGGACAGCAAATTTACTTTCGTGTATTGAGTTTCCATTTTACTTCCGTGTCAACAGTTGCTCTTCTAGTGGCCATTGCTGTACTTATATCTTTTCTTCCACACCCAACTCCCATTCTGCACAAAATTTGTTGAAGTTCTCTTTCTGGTGGTGTAAATGTAATTTCTATATGCCATTTAGTTTTTGTTAAGTAGTTATTTTAAACCACTCAGATCATTTGTTTTCACTCTGTATATTAATAGGCACTTACATTCAGTTACATTCTTGGTGAAGTAAGTAGTATTTTATTTATGATGTTCATAGGGGTTCTATAAAGAGGCAAGCAAGAAGTGTTATCAGTTTTTTATCTCTAAATGTAGACACCTCCCTTTTCATTTTTTAGAGCAAAGTCAACTATATATTCACACATTGGCCCTTATAATCTCATATTTGTTTTACACAACTGCAAACCTCAGATTTCAGCATAAAATGATGTTAGATTGAAGAAATTAACCTACATTTATTATAACAATGTTTGATGAGATTCCTTTGGGGGCCATTGCATTCATTTTCTGTAGCACTGCTACTCACAGTTTTGTCCTCTGTTTGTAGGAGCCCTGCAGATCTCCGGCAGTGAAGAAGAAGATCAGGGAAAGTACGAATGTGTTGCTGAGAATGTCGTTGGAACAGAATACTCCCACTCCACAATGCTTTACGTTAAAGGTGAGTCATTTATTATCTTGTTACGAACTTCGTAAGAACATAATCCTTTTTTAACCCTTTTGCTGCATATTATTTTTTTCACCACTTTCCTGAAATGATACAGTTTTAAGGTAAAAATTTGAAACATATTGAGCATTTCTTTTTAAACGTAATATAACATTTCCATACAACTTCACCACCACTTTCCTGAAAAGATACAGTTTTAAGGTAAAAATTTAAAAAATATTGAGTATTTCTTTTCAAATGTAATATAACATTTCCATACAACTTCACGTGCTTTAAAATAGGTGGCAACACCGTACAGAACAACAAAATTGCATTTTTGTAGCTCAGTGAAGCAAATCAATTGTTACAGCAAAAGGAGAATTGATTCATGTGAACTAAAGTTGAACGCTGCACTTTGCGGTAATGGATGCTTGTCAAATATCGCTCATGCCCTGGGCAAGAATCGATCCCATGATGTCATTGTATACACATCCTAAGACTGTGCATGGTCATGTAGCTGTCCTGATTTAATCTCTAGCCTCTGCGTCCAGACCGGCTCTGTGGCCCACCCAGCGTCCTATACAATGGGTGCTGGGGTTTCCCAGGGGTAAAGTGTGGCCAGGGCATGACGCTAAGCACTCACCTCTGTCTAGAGCCGAGGTTAAGAATGAGTAGGAGCTTTATCTCTATTCCCCTCAAGCACCTACATGGTGTATAGTGGGACAGCTTTTTACTTTACTTTTAATTTGAAATGACTATAGATAAGTGTGAAAAGTATTTCTAAAATAAGGTGTTTCTTTGTTCTGTAACTTGAACGTTCTTGTTAGGCATGCATTTTCAAGCCTGCCTGCACCTCAGGACGTGGTGGACAGGTATAAAGACAGAAATTTGGCACTACAGCACAAGATTTTCTCATTGCATAGTTTAGTTCCAAGTTCTGAAACCTCTCAGTGAATCAGTGAGGAAGTTGCTGTGAGTTAGTAATGAAATTCCTCTCCACTTCTGGTTTAGAAGGTGGAATGGGGTGCTGTTAAGTTGAAGAGGTTGTTTCCTGTACACTCTACTGGAAATACAGTGTTCTTCTGTTACAGCCTCTATGCTGTTTCTTGTTGAAAATGAAGGTATTAGGGCATGAAGGATCTGAGTCAGTGTACTCATAGTGGGGGGGGAGGGGGGGGGCGCTCAGAAAATAACTTTATAAGGTATGTACAGTCATTTCTGCATTTTTGTGTTTTTAATTTGAAGAGGTTGAAGAATATTAATTTACACAGTTTTAGTTTTAACTTGAAGACCATCATGTGGTCAGTAAAACATGCTCATGGCAGCATGGCAGGTATGGAGAGTGATGCAGATATTATTTCTAAAAACGTTAATATAGCATTTAAAATAACTTCATAAATATTTTGGAAGAATTAATGAGTTAATAATCTTAATTTTAATGACATTTATCAGGAAAGAGTCTACTGTGTAAAATGCAAAATCATTATATCTTGAAAGGTAATTCACCAAATCTTCAATGTAAAAATACTTGATTCACTGTATTCCACATACTTTATCCCTTGTTTCTTCTTTTAAAAGGAAAGACAGGCTGATGGTATTATCAGGTCTATGTATATCTGCCCCTCCAGTAACTTTCAAATCAAGGGGGATCAAACGGGTAGTTCATATTCTTTCGAGCACACAACAGTATGTAATGCAGTGTTGTTGTTTGTTTAATGGAATATAAACCTTGTTTGATTGGAACCACAACATGATGGTGATATATAAGTTTGTGGGAAGATGTTGAGGTAATATAGTATTTAGAATGTAAAACAACATGATGGCCACACAAAATCTGTTTTATTCTTTCTTTAATAATAACTAATGAATTTTAATATGGAATTGAACCATAATCATATACTGCACTTGAGAAATGTTTTTTATGCTAGCAGTTATAAACATGGTAATAATTAAAAACTTGAGATTATTGTTGTTTCTTGGCTCTACAACCCGGTTGTGGCTTTTTGCCGCCTCCTTTTTCGGAGGTTTCTTGGTCTTGAAGTATAGTAGACAAATATAAAAGTTTGAATCCATGCTGATGGTAATTATACACAGAAATCAATTACTGAAGCATGCAATTATTAATTTGTAGTTCTTACTTCTTTTTTCAGTTTGATATGGGTTTGACGGAAAGTAGGTGTCATATGTTTTTACCTAAACTGCTTGTT